TCCTTCTCCGTGGAACCTTGGGCTGTGGCCGCGGTAGGCTCTGGACACACTCATCATGTCTTCTCACAACTTAGTCTCCTTGGGAACTTCCTCTCAGAGCCACTGGAGTGGAGTAGGGATGGGGCAGGGGAGGGGGCCCGTCCTGGTTGTCCTGAGGCAAGAGACAGCAGGTGCCCAGGGGGCTGATCTGGGTGTTTCTATCTTGGATGGGGTCCCGGGAGGATCTCTGGGGCAGGTGGTCTCTGGAATGTCCATGCCCACAGGCAGCCTGGACACAGTGGCCAACTGGGGAGCCAGCTGTTCAGTCTGTCCGCTGCCAGGCCAGGCCTGTGCAGTCCCCTCCCTCCCCTGGGTCCACAAAGTCCTTTTTGTTTGCGGGGCAGGGGTGGACATTCAGCCATGGAGAAATGGGTGAACTGAGCTCTGCTGAAAGCAGCAATAACATCTTCTCTAGGGGAGAGGGGAGCCATGCTTTCTCACTCCCACCTGCCTTAAAGGCTCAGGGTGCAGGCAGCCCCTCAGTCCCCACAGAAGCTGTCCTCCTAAGGAGGCCAGTTGAGGACAAAGATAAGGTAAGTGGGGGTGAGGGGAGCTCCCAAGAACCACCTTGGAATGGAGCTATTCACTTCAGGGCTGTGCAAGGCTCCGCAAAGTAGTAAAATTTATGGCTGCTTCCATTTGAGAGCACTTCCCACACAGCTGGCACTTTGCTAAGCCCTTAACTTACTTTATCTCTTTGAAGACAAGACAACACAGCGGTCAAGAGCTCGAGTACAATCAGACAGAACCGGCTGCTACTCCAGTGAAGCAGGAGTTGTGCGACTTTGGGCAAGTTTCTCAACCTCTCTGAGCCGAAGTTTCCTCATCTCACGCCTCTGACCCCAAACCCCACGGTATTAATCACACGGTCTCCTGGGGCCACCTTCACTGCCTGGACCCGGTAGCAAGGAGCTGAGTATTAAAGAGGAAGATGTTTCAGGCCCGGCATCACAATCCCAGACAGAAGCTCCCAGCCAGGGGTAAGCCCTTGGAGGGCCCAGGATCATGGCCTGAAGCCCCCCCAGCCCCTTGAACAGGGGAAAGGAGGCTCCTGAGTTAGAAGCAGAACTGGGATGGATCACAGGGCTTGGGACCCCTGGTCCAGCGCTCCCTTCACAGAAGGCCCTCAGGGAATCTGTGCTTTTCCGCATACAGGTCCCAGAAGACTAGTCTTTCCCTCTTGTCTCTACCGCCAGAATACCCAGAATAAGTAAAGCCACAGAGACAGAACGCAGATCCATGGTTGCCTGGGCAGAAATGGGTATGGCGCTTCCTTTTGGGTTGATAATGTTTGGAACTAGATGAAGGTGGCAGTTGTACACATTGTGAAGGTACTAAACGCCACTGAATTGTTCACTTTAAAATGGTCGGTTTTATGTTACGTCAATTTCACCTCAATTAAAAATAAGGGTACCTGGGGAATTCCCTGGCCATCCAGTGGTCAGGACTCTGCGCTTTCACGGCCAGGGACGCAGGTTCGATCCCTGGTCGGGGGAACTAAGATCCCGCAAGCCGCTGGGGCACGGCAAAAAAATAAAGAAAAAAAGAAAAAAGTGTACCTGTAGATAAGAGATTACAGGAAGAAGAGTGGGCAAGTGCCAAAGCGGGAAGGGAAGGACAGCCTGAAGTGAGGGAGGGAGGACGTCGTTGCAGAAACAGGGGAGTTGGAGGTGGGGGAAAGGCTTGAGGGGGGAGGTTTCCTAGGCTGCAGGGGAGGGTGGCCTGGAGGATGCAGCTGGTTGAGGAAGCAGAGTTTGATCCTGTGAACTTGGGAGCCCCTGCCCTTTAGAGGAAGGAGGGAGAACCAGGAGGGGGAGCGGGGCAGGCGCTTTCAGCCTCCGAGCTGTTTGCTTCCTCTCAGACTTTAGACTGGAAGCTCCCGGGGGTGGGGGCAGGGACCTCATCTTCTTAGCTGCTTTTAATTTTCAGCGCAGAGCATCATCAAGGTAGGCAGTTCCTTTAGAAACCCTGGCACCAGTGGAATGAAATCGAACACATTAAGCAGCAGGAAGATCACCCACCACCCTCCCACAGCGGGGAAGTGAGGACGGCACTGAGCTGTGTGTGGGTGCCATCTCCGGGCAGTAGGGGGGCTGCCGAGACCTCCCAGGGCTGAGGGGCCACCTGTCACCCCCTTGCAGGCCCCAGAGCCCCTAGAGGACAGCACCCACTGGGGGTCTGGGATGGGGGGGAAGGGATTGGCTGAGCGCCGTGGGCTCCTTTGTCAGACCCAGGAAGGAGAGAGGGGGCAGCTACAGGAAGTAAGGAGGGGAGAGGTGCTCCCTCCGGAATCTCTCCCGCCACTTCCCTCCCCTCCAGCTCCCACAGCTCCTGCACATGCTCAGTGCGCCCTCGAATTGGGTTGGCTGGGGGAGGGCCTTGACTGGCATCCCCACTTAAAGGGCCAGTGCCATCTTTGCCCGCACCCAACGGGGCACAATGGGAACTGGCCACCCTCTTCACTCATACTGAACCACATCACCTCAGACCCCTTTCCGCACGTCCTGGCAGCTCCTCCCGCCGCCTCAGCTGCTCTGTGCACCCATCACCTCTCATTCCCTGACCCCACTGCAGGCAGGGACTGTCCACTGGACACAGGGGTGTCCACCTGGGGTGGGGAAGAAAGGAGGACCCCAGACCAGGGTACAAAATCCCTCCTGGGAACTACCTGCCTCTCTTGGCCTCCCTCCCCCAGCCCAGCTGACCGAGATGGTCCTGGAAAGCAAATGGCCATGAGGGAATGAGGCACTGAGCATCTGCTCTGGAAAGGCCTGGGGAGAAAAGGGGAGTGTGTCTAAGTCCGGCTTCCCCAGCAGATAGGGTGGTAAAGGCTGTAAACTGGAGCTTCCTCACTGAGGTGGGGTCCCAGGACCAGGCAGCTGGAGAGGGAAAAGCAAAAAGAACCCGCATCTGGCCACCGGGGCTGAGGTGGCCCTCCCCAGTGCCGAGCCCCGAGTCACACCAGCTCTACCCTGGGTTCTGGGCGCTGAGGTCAGGGACCCAGGTGGGGGGAAGGAGGTGACACTGACTCTTCACTGATCCCTCTCAGCCCCTCCTGACACTCTCCCATCCCACACCCTTCTCCTCTGGTTTTGTTTTTGTTTTTGTTTTGCCTCTCTGTTTTCTTGCCCCATCCTGAGCCCCACCAGCCTTAGGAAAATTAACCCACCTCAGTGTGACCCTGACCCAGAGCCCTTCAGCCATTGTGTGTGTGTGTGTGTGTGTGTGTCTGTTGGGGTTGCAGCAGCTTTCCTGTCTCCAGGCTCCTCAGCTCCTTGACCAAGAAAGGCCAAGCTCCTCACCTGTCCCCTCCCCCGTGTGCAGCTCCTGCCTGCTCAGGGATACACCTCCAGCACACTACACCCACACCCCTCCCCCACACTCCAGCAGCCCTCTGGAATCCTCTCTCCCCTCCTAGTTACTTTTACACACACACACACACACACACACACACACACACACACACACCCAGGCCTCGGGTAAACAACCTTGTCCTGGCCCTGGCCCTCCCCTCTCCCTCCAGCTCCATGCTGAGGAATGCAGCAGCTGGGAGGCTGCCTGCACCCTGCCCAGGGGCCTTCATGTCCCTGGCTAGCACCCCACAGGGGAAGGCCAGCCTAAGGCCAGCTTTCCTGGAATCCAAAAGCTGCTTCCTCTCTGAGCCTTGGGTTTTCCTTCTGCAAAGTGGGGACAATCATTCCTCTAGCCCTTCCTGACAGAGGTGTGTGGGATCAAAGGGGAGGGGGCTAGGACTCCCAGCCAGGGTTGGGTGGTGGGAGACCCCAAAGATGGGAGATTTTGCTCTCTTAAAACCCATCCCTTCCTAGGATCTGTTCTGGCCTTACTTCGCTGTAGAACACGCTGGAGAGGTCTGGGTGTGACAGGGCAGAAATGAAAGTTGTCCTGGCAACACACAGGATTTTTCAACATTTCCATCCCAGCAGCTCCCAGGCCTGAGCCCTTCTCTCGCGCAATGTGGCCTGTCAAGATGAGCTTTCCTGGAACTGAGGTTAGGCTGGGCCCGCCAGGCCTCTGCCCCTCCCTGTGCACGGTGGCAGAGCCAACACAGGCTCATTGGTGAGTTGACTAACTTCCCCTCCACCACCGCAGCCTGACACTCTGCAGCCACAAGAACAAGAGACAAGGTGTCTGGGGAGAAGTGGGTCTGCGTGTGAGGGGTGTGTGAGCTCGCTTCAGAGCCCAAGACTGCTGGTGTGTTGGTGGCATATCTGGGCTGACTCAGCTCTCTATCAGACAGACAGGTGAGGGGCTCACCTCAGAGGGAATTAACCACACAAGTGATTAGTCTAAAAGCAGCAGGATGCACAGACGCACGGCAGGCACCTCGAAAGCCAAGCCTCCAGCTCTGCTAAGGATCGATCCCCTGTCCAACCAGCCTTGGGCTTATTTTCCATCAGGAGAAAACTCCCCTTGAGCGCTTTCTTGTAAGTGCTCTTCTAGGAGGTCAGGGGGCAAACCTAACCTCCTGCCCAACCCCCAGCTGGGAGATGGGGTGCGGGAGGGGAGGCTGTCAAGCACAGAGAGACACAAGGCACCCAGACCTTGTCTAGCCCAGCCCTCTACACTGTGGGGAGGACAGGGAAAATACAGGGAGCCTGGGAACAAACCCTGAAGAAACCCCTGGACTTGGGCCTAATCCTCTCCCCTCCCGGGGAAGTTCCCAGGTCCTCACAGCAATCTTGCATCTTAAGTCAGGCTCTGGCTGAACCTGGTGACTCCTGACTGAGACCCCTCCCGCCTCTGCCTTCCCCTCTCTAAAACCTTCAGAACAGTCTGATGGCCCCCAGATACATGGAGCAGATTTCAGGCATTCTGGAGACGCTGAGAAGCCCCCATTGCAGGGGTCTGCTGTCCTCCCAGGCTGGGGGCAGCCCCAGGCCTCTCTGCGATGGAAGTGCTTTGATTCTCAGAGCAGCCCTAGTGAAATCAATGCTAGCCACTCCCATGTGATCTCACCAAAATCATTTAATTCCTTTGTGAAAAATAAGATGACATCAAAGAACAAACTGTGGAAATGACAAGATGGAAGCTGGAACCTAAATGAGCTGTCCTCAGGGGGCGCAGAGGTGCTGAGACCTGCCTCCTTGAGACTCGGCTGGCCTGAGTGTGTACAAAACGGGACCTTCTCCTTGGGTCAGCCTGGATGGGGGGGGCACCCCTAGGTGCCCCGCTCCCCACCACGGCGGCCACCTTCTCGGTTCCACATCTCATTCTCCTGCCGAAGCCGCTGGTTCTCCGTCCGGAGCCTCTCTACCTCGGCGGCCAGCTCCTCCACCTGGCGACAGGGCCGCTGGCTGGTGCACCCCTGCAGCTGCTGCAGCCTCCTCGTCTCCTCCTCGGCCTGTGACAGCCGCCTCTCCAGATCCAGGTAGTCGCGCACCAGCTCCTGCTTGCTGCGGCCCTGCAGGCTCTCAGTGTGATAGCGCTCATAGGCCTCGGAGAAATCCCTCTGCTGGAACTCCCCATGAGCTCGGCCCCTCGAGTCGCTGTCCCCGGCCTCACTCTCCCCACTGGAGCCTGGGTGAGAGGCCCCTTGGGGCACATCCAGGTTGGGCTCCTCGGGGTCTCTGTCGTTCATCAGGAACTGCGTGGTATTGTAGGGTGCCACGGGCTGGCCTTTGGCGAACATCTCCTCTCGGACCCGGGAGGCCCGCTGGCTCTGCCTCTCATCCCGCTGTTGCTTCTCAGCCCAGCTCAGCTCCAGGTAGGGCCGCCAGTGCCGCTTGCGCTTTGAAGGCCGCCGGCGGTGCTTCTTCCGTGCCAGTACGGCCTCCACTGAGCAGCGCCCTGGGCTCTGGGCCCGGGGACGCCTACCGTTCCAGCCTAGGCCGCTGCCGGGAGGATCTTCCTCCTCTGAGTGGCTCTCCATCCGGGGTGTCAGGGGCAGGGAACCTCCAGGGTCATGAGGCTCGGGGGATGTTTTGGGGCTCCCAGGAACACGAGAGGTCTAAAGAGAGAGGAAAAAGGAGGACAGATCACAGATGGCCCGTCTCATGGTACAATCCTCTGTTCATCCAGCCTGAAGCCGACCTGCCCACACCCAGCTCACTTGGTCCCTCTCTAGCCTCGCACCTTCTACAACCATTTGTCTGTTTCTGGGCTTACCTGTCTACTGTCTGTCCCCCAACCCTCCCCAGGCAAACTCATGGTGAGAGCCAGAATCTTGCCTGTGTATTTCACTCTGTAATTTCAATGCCTGGAACAGCACCTGGCACAGAGCAGACATTCAATAAATACTCTTTGAAATGGGATGGGAAGTGGCTCCTGATGTATTGTTGGTTGATCAGAAGCCCAAAGGGCACTTGCTCTTCCCTCTTCCTAGAAAGCTTATCTTTCAGACAAAGCTGGTTTCCTTGCAAGTGACCTGTACAGTCCCAGAGAGCCCCCCATTCAGAAAAGCCCCATGCTTTGCTTAATGCTCTGCTGTCATTGTCTTGAATTTCTTAGTAATTTTTGAATTAAGAGCCCTTTGCACTGACCCCACAAATCATGTTGCCAATCCTGCTTCCAGCTACTTGCATAACTGATTCTTTTTCATCCTTTAGGGTTAAGTGCCAATGTCAGCTCTTCAGAGAGGCCCTCCCTGACCACCCTATCTAAGTAGCCCCCATTCCCCTTCCCGGTGACTCCCTGTCATGTGACAGTTAATGTCCCACTTAGCATTTAGCACATTACCATTTACCACTTGTCTTTCTCCTAGAAGAATGTGTCCTGTCTGTTCAGCTCACCACTGTGTCGCTAAGCATGGCCCAAGGTGAGTGCTCAATAAATATATGTTAAATGACATAAGCCCAGAAGTGGGGGGTATCCAAAAGATATTGGAACATGAGACTCTCGCTTCTGTCATTCTAGGGTGAATGGAGTGTATTTATTCCAGGCACAAGTTGGTATCACTCTTCTATATGAGGGGCAGGAAAGCACTAGGGAGAGGAAGGGCCAATCTCCAGTCTGTAGCCCAGAGAATTCTACACCTTATCTAAGAGGCGGAAAGCATTCTGTCAAGCGTGCGTGTGTTCAGGGCATCTGTTTATCTCTGCCGTGGTGAGGGCGGGAGTACTGAGTCTGGGGGAGGAGAATGAACTGCTGGAAGTCTGTGGTTTGGGGAATTCTAATAATAACCACCACCACTGGGACAGTGTTTTATAACGTTCAACACGGTTCAGAGACATCTGAGCATAGGTCTACACGAGTGTAGGGAGTGTACTGGGGGGTGCATGCAGCCCTGTTTAAGAGCTGGAGGTGTGTTAACGTGCATCTTGGAGACCCCAAAGTTCTCTTCATAATTTGGGATGGGGTACGTTGGAGTGTGTGTACGTGTGTGTTGTTTGTTGTGTTGTATTGTTACTTTACCTGCAGGGAGAATGTCATAAAGTAACAATACAATCAAGAGTGACAGGCCTTGTCACCACCAGTGTCTTGGGCCAACTGAGAAGACCTTCTGCCCCACCCAGGAAGAGGCAAGGCCACTGGAAGTCCGAGGCAGGGGGGCTTGCTTCGGTGCACACAATCATTCACCCGTTCCCAGCCCCCCACCCAAGCCAGCCCTGCCCCTCAGCCCCACATGCTGCCTCCCTCCTGAAGGCTTGTCCCCTTTCCACCATTACCACTATTGCAGATAAGCTGTGTGATCCCGGGTGAGTCATTTGCCCTCTCTGAACCTTCAGGCCCTGACATGCCATGAACTCCAAATTAAATAAATCTGGAAAATTTACTGGAAGTAGCTAGGTAGGGTGGATCAGAGGACTAGAGTTCCCTTCTTACCTATAGGGAGCTGTGGACTAGGGGAGAAGAATGGGCAAGGTGGGGGCCGGTGAGAGAGGGCATAGGGTGGGAGGGTTTGGGCTCCTGTTGCCAGATCAGAAGGTGATGTTCTCTGAGGGCCTGATACAATCTGTCTCTCCCCTCCCTCCTGGGTGATTTCCTGCCCCCTAACCTCCATCCTAAATTATGAACCGATGGCTCGAACTCGTCTCCCTGCCTCAGACTTGGTTCACAGCCTAGACAAAATGCAAGGCAGTGTTTAAGACGCTAAGTTTAAACCCTGCGTCTTCTGCTTGCTGGCTGCGTGATTCTAGAAAAGGCATGTCAGCTCTCAGAACATCAGCTTCTTTGAAATGGAAATAGTAATTTCTACCCTGAATGGCTACTAGGATTTCATGAGATAGCACAGAATTAACATCTGCCACATTGCTCAGCGCATAGTGGGGACTCATTTAAAAATACTGGTTTTCCAAATCCACTAACACATCTGAGACAAGAAGCCAGGATCCCAGTTGGCAGGACCCATGTTCAGGGCACTCAGGTGGTTGGGAGAATGGGGCTTACCTTGGCCTCCTCCAGGGCTGCTGGTGACTCTGTGTTAACAGTTGGTCTGGTTTGGAGTAGCCACCTTCTTCTGTTCCAAATCTTTCAGCAGATGCCTTTTAACTAGTGACACCTGCTTTAAATAATAGAAACCTAAGTCCCGAGGGAGAATTTTCAGGAAAACTCTGGCTACCCAGCAAATTTTTACCAAGTCAGCGGCAGCCATTTTGTAGCACCAGACCTGCACACCCTCATTTTCAAATGAAGGGCCGCCTCCAGCCTGGTTTTCACACCTCCAGCCAGCATGGGGTCAAATGGAGATTAAGGGGCCATCTCCTCAGTCCTGTTCCTCAGGCCCCAGGCCAGGGCTTACATCCTATACTCTTCTCCTGAAACTCACTGAGGCAGGCTGGCAGTTAGGAAGCTAGGCCTAAGCTTTGTTCCCCCAGCAACCAAAGAGGGCAAAAGACTGCCTGGGGAGGCGAAGACACAGCAATGACCTGGACAGGCTGGGAGTGGAGTGGGTCGGTGGCTCCGACAAGCCCGAGGAGGAGTCCTTTCCCCACTGCCTCCAGCAGCCCCAACCTTGACTGTAGGCCCCCACCTCCTCCCCAGGCTGGGCTCCGGAAGTCATCACCTCAAAACACACGACTGGGCCCAGCCTGGGGCTGAGGCCTTTTCATCTACAGGGCCTGGCCTGCCTCCCTCCTTCTTCTCAGGATGGGAAACGGAGGAAAGGGTAAGAAGTCTTCGCACTACAGGCAGCTGGGAGGGAAACCCAACAGGGATAAGGAAGGATTCCTTGGAAGAGGGGAAATGATCCGGGAAGGAGATTTTGCAAAGGCGGAACTGACCTATTTGCTGTCAGGGGCTATGCACAGGACTACATCTGTGTGTCTTTCTGTGCGACCGCCTGTCTGCAATTCCCAACGGCTCAGCCCTACCTCTTGCTGCAGTTGCTGCAGCTCTGGTCAAGCCGCTCAGGTACTGAGGTTGGGGGGAGGCCCCCAACCCCGTCCTGGCAGCGCGGTGCCTGCTGGGGATTGTAGTTCTTCTAGCTAGGGAAGGCGGATCAAGATCCTGTAATTTCAACAGGCACACAGAAAACTCTAAAACCCATCTACCCTTGCGCGAGTGGCGTCCCGCGCTCACCGATGCCTCCTTTGATTGGTCCACTCGCCTGCCAATATTCCCTTTTTCGTCAACGATTAGCTGTGCGGAAGCATAATACAAACGCCTTTCCCAGCTCAATTAAAGAGTTCATTGATGGCGTTAATCTTTACTGGGCAGAAAACAGATCCGGCTGAGGGGGAGGGGCTTGGACGCGGAGGGATCCTCGGCTCTAGAGGAAGGCGACGAGAAGGATCGGTGGCCGCCGCCGCCATTTTGGGCTGGGAGGAGGCAGCGGAGGGACTCGCTGCGCAGTGAGAGCACCCCATGGGGGGTGGTCCGGGCGTGGGGAGAGGCCGGGCCGAGTGGGCTGCCTGAAGTGGCGGCGCCGGGAGACGGCGGGGGGTGGGACCGGGGACCGCGGGGGGGTGAAGGTTGGAGTCTCTCTGGCCGGGCCCGGTCCTCAAACCATCCCGGCAGCCCCGCAGCCTCGCCTCTCACAGAGGGCGGGGTTCTTGGGTAATTACCGCGTATTTCCCGAGACCCCAGCTGAGTAGAGACCGGGTGAAATGACTCTCCTTTGCTCTTTCCATGGGGGCGCAGATCTCGATGCCGAGCTCCGCTAAGTTCTTTCCCCACCCCCATGCGGCCTGGGTATAGCGGCGAGGCCCGGCGTAGCGGGAACCCCCACTTCGATGGGCGACGCGGGGGCGGGTGGAGGTCGCAGCTCCGACTGCGCGTCCCTCTGGCGTGGCAGTCAGCTGGAGGCTCCGAGGGCAGAGAGCCAGGTGCACCCACCATCTCCCCCCGTACACCAAGGCCATCCCGCGGCCAGGGCTGTGAACAGGAACAGCCTTCTTCCTACTGTAGCAACCACTAATTCTCCCCAGGGACCAGCTAGATCGGGGCACGTGGAAATCTCTGAGCGCTCTTGCCCTCGAGATCTCTCCTGTCCAGCCCCGATTCTCTGAACGACCTGACCTCGCACGTCGCCAGCCGCTTTGGGAAACTCCAAAAGTGTGCTGTTCCACATCTCTTGAAAGTTTACACCAAAGGGGTTTGCGCTTTTGCCCTTTGCAGAGTTGGGACACAAAACAACTTGGAGTCGCCACGGTTCTGGGAATAAACATGGAGTGGCCCATTTCGGATGCTTCAGGAACATCTGTTTGCATTTTGAAATCTGAGCCATAACTTTTACCAAAACTTTTTGGAGATGGCCGCCCTCCTAAAGGAAAAAACGAACTAATTCCAACGTAGTCTTTATAAGGCTACAAATTCTTTACGGTTTAAAGAACTTTTCTCCCACAGACGAAACAAAATGGGGGGAGTATTTTGCCACTGGTGCATTGTTACTAGGGAACCTCTATTTTGAAATTCCAAGTAATTGAAAGTCACTTCTGTGGATCCCAGATGGCCACCAAAATAGAAATTGCAGTTTTGAGCTACTTAATATACGTGGCGTTTGGGGGAGCAGGGGAAACCTACTTTGAGAAAATAAACACTCAACATCATAGCTGTAGCAGCTTCTTAAGGATTGAAGTTTGATGTGAAATTCTTTTCTTGAATTGCAGATGAAACCATTTTGTTTCTTACTGCTTGAAATCTAAATTCAGAGAGATTCATAGGTCAGGGGTAGCTTAATGTTGTTGCTAAAAGGTCAGTTGAAATTATGCCTAGGTAGACTCGTAATTAGGAGAGTGACTGGGCGGTGAGCTTTATCTTAGAGGGTACCTTGTGGTGCGTCTCATTGCTGATTACAGATGGTCAAATCGTTCCGAAGCATTTGGCCTTAATAGCAAAGTTTCTTCAGAACTGAAGCCCTGTTCCTCCTATTAATAAAGTGATTTTTTTTTTTAAGTTGTAAGAGTGACAGTTCCATAGCTTTAACTGTTTTCTCCCTTTGCCCCCCAGATGTTCTCAGAGAAAGTCTTAGAACTGGATTGCAAAAATACGATCACCTTTGACTCAGGTTAATCTAAAATTTGAACCACTTACCCTAAATAAAGCTTCAGGACACTTGATTCATGCTGTGGGTTGACTTGGCTTATGTCATGTTCACTTCACACTGTTGTTCAGATCAAGAGAATATGCCAGTTAGGAAAAGCTGACACTAACTTGGTAGGAGTTAAATAGGTGTAGCTGAAAGGGGCTTTAAAGATTATCTTTGTGGTTCCTCTGTCAAGAATTTAATGGTGGAGGATCTCAGACTGTGATTCATCCTCCATTGTGAAGTAATCTAGTTAAACCTTTGGAAGCTACTAAGTGGAGAATACTGTACCAGGTGCAGAAATTTGGTACTCATTTTTAAAGATGAAAGCTTATCATATTTAAGGTTGACCCATAAGCTTTTCCATTCCTTGATAAGAAAAGTTGGGAGTAAAATCAGTTTATTAACGGTCCCTTGGTTATCTACTGAGCAAAACACAGCACTGGAAGTTAGGGACTCCCAAGTTCTATTTCTGTGTGTGCTACCACAGATTTGGTTGGCTTGGCTAGAGGCCAAATCCTGAAGATGAGGCCAAACTGGCCATTTTGTTGCTGAGTCTATTGTCTAACTTTCGACTAGACCTTCAACTTCCTCCTCAGCTCTCCTCTTTCAGATGAGTTGCTTTGTGGTTTATGACAAATTCTACAAACCCTATATGCCTCAGTTTCCTAATTTGAAAATGGTATCAATGCAGCCTCCCTCATAAATACCTTGGGTAACTACTCTTCAGTGGCCATGTAAACATTTACTTGCTCTAACTTTGTTACTTGGAAACTTTAGGAGTTCTGCTTCAAAGGTTATTTGGGGCATTTGGGAGGCCTGCCTTACCAAAGTGGGGCCTTGGTTGCCATGGGCCATCCAAGTCGGTTGAACAAGGGTCAGTCTCAGGGTACCAAGCAGTTGTTACCGCAAGTCCTGGATGTTTGACGTTTGCCTGCTGGCCACCTCCTGGGAGTAGTGGCTCTGTGTGGTCGGCGTTCATTGACAGGCAGGAGTAGTTCTTTGCAGCAGTCCTCCTCTTCAGGATGAAGATACTTGCTTCTGAACTATTTGATTTCCAGTTTTTTACTTTGTTGAGCCCTCACCATCCTCTTCTCTGTCTTTTCTCTTTTTAAATTCAAATGTTTGCTCTTTTAAATGCACTTTTAGTAAGACCCAGAGAGGAGGGTAGAGCTAACCTCCTAGACATTCCCTTCCATCCTCTGGTTGGTCTTCTGCCTTTGCCTGAAAGTTGTCTGGGAGTTATCCAGGCATGCAGAATTGCGTGCTTAAAGCCAACTTCAGAACTTCAGATCTTCTCCAACGCTCTGGAGTCTAGGACAAATTCTACTCAGTAGTTTACGAGAGCAGTGATGCTGTCATTTTCTCAAATTCTTGTGCATGGAACACTCTACAATTCCTACATTTTCCTTCAGGAATATCCTTTTTGATCACCGTAGATCCAGGGCTTTTTAACACTTGACACACAGTCAGTGGATGTGTATCAAATAGAATGTGCCTTCAGATGAGGGTTTACAATACTCTTCTGAATTTTTGCTCTTTTGGGAAAATTTTAAGCCAAATGTAACGAGGGAAAGAATCACTAGCTGTTTCAGGAGGCTTACCAACAGTTCCTGGTACCAGCTCAACCATTTGAAAGAATTTTGTTGGTGTGCAGAAGTTTGTTAGTAAACTACTAGGATTATTCTGCTGTTACCCATGTTACATCATTTGTCATAATTGAACTGCCTCAAAGTAAAGCCTAAGAAAAACTTCATTCAGGAGGATTTGTGAGAGCTGTGTTATTGATCTGTCTGAAACCAGCCTTTGTTTTTTCAACAAGAAATGAAATGAGGTTGTATGCTTTCCAGCATTCAAAGACAACTGGCAGAAATTGGCCAAATAGTGAATCTTTGCCTCCTAGACCATATATTTTGTCTTACTTACAGAGTATGACTATTACCCTTTGGTAAGCAGATCCCACTCTTCAGGGCCTGAATTTGACATTTTCTTTTAAAAATTAGTTTTTATTTCTAGCAACAACCATTTACACTTTACACGAGAAAGGATAGTGGAATTTTATTCCAATAATCTTGCTTGAGAAATGTGAAAAATCATTTAAAAAAACTCACAAACTCAGGTGTACTTAGGTACAAGTACAGTGCTATTTAACTCTAGCCAGCTTTTCTGTCACACTGTTGTGAATACTTGTTTCCTTCTGGCGGTGTTAAGTGGACAGGGGGACACCTGTAGTACCTTACCTAATATTTGACTAAACATTGGTTTTCTGAAGGTAGACTATTTAGTTGTGGATTTTGTTTATTTCTGTAGATTCCCTCTTTGATTTCTCTCACTTTTGAAGTCACTGGGGTAAAGTATATTTATTTATATTTCCCCAAGCAAAGGATTTTTATTTTACTCTGGACAAAGTGAAAATTAAAATACTGATCAAATGGGCAACTGCTCTGGTCTTAAAAAGAACCAATAATAATACCAATGGTACCTTACTTTTGGATAGCCTATTTTCATGCTGTCTCCTTTAGTCCTTAACAGCAGTTATGTGAAGTAGGCACGGCCCCATTTTGCTGATGAAGAATTAGGCTCAGAGAGTTTAATAAGAGATGTGTCCAGGGTTGTACTGCTAGTATTTGTCAAAGGTATAACTAGGAGCCTGGTTTTTGACTCCTAGTCTGGTCTAATTTTATAATGTTTTCTCTCTTTAGATACCTAGTCCATTTTTCAGAACTAAACCAATCTGGAGCTCCTTGGCTTGTTCCCCTGCAAACTGAAATCTAAACGGCTCTGTCTCTTGAGGGTCACTTTAGGTTATAGGCTGGCCTAAGAAAAGTTTTCCTTACTCAAAGGAGGATTAAGCAGTCCAGCCAGCTGTCTCCAAAATTTGGGAAGTGCTTTGCCCTGGCTGGATATCCAGGCCCCAGTATAAGAAAGAGAACTGAAATTGCTAATGTGTAAGCATGATCTTTGGAGCAGCTCATTTACAATGTTTAGCAGAAAAGCCTTTAGTGAAAGGCTAGAGTGGACTTGAGGATCATTTGTCATGATCCTGTTAGTATAGGTAATTCAGAATTTTTTCTCTCTGCCCTTAGAACAATATGTTAGGTGTTTCAATGTAGAAAGTGGTGATAGAAAACTGAAATTTTGCACAAATCTCATCATTCTAAGAACATAAATGCAGTAGGTGCCTTTGAAAGCAAAATTCAGGCAGAAAGTTGCATATCTCAAGGTAAATCAAAGTAATTTATGACAGTTACTTAAAGCTAAATATTTATATATTTTTTAAGACTGGATTGAATGTCTCCTAAAACTTACACTTTTTTCCTGATGATAAATGCACTAAGAGTCTTTCTAAGACTAATAGAGAAACAAGATGGTTATATTTAAATCCATCTTGTTAAGTAAGCAGAGTTTCTGAAATCAGAGGTCATCATTGCTGCATCTTGTATAGTTCAGTCAAAATGAGGCTTCTGCTGTGCACTGTAAAGGCAGAGGGCAGTGTTGCTGCTTCTGGGACTGCTGCATGACGTCATGGCAGAAGGAAAATTAAAAACAAAAACTATTTCAAAATAGACTTTTAATGTAATTTTTAGGCCAAAGGAAAGCTGATCAAACATCGTCTCCAGTGGACCATCTGCCAGAATAGGGCCAGCTCAGTCCAGCTTTGAAGGCCCTGAGTCAGGCTTAACTGCCATAATTTCCCTTGATTCATGGATTTGTGTATATGCTTCTCATGCATCATAAGGTGCGTTTCACTCTTGACATACCCACCACCTCCACTACTTCGTTTAGCTGCAAAAGCAAGCTTCCCAATGGGAGGTTTTTTCCCAGGGGTTCTTAACCTTCAAGGAGTTTGATAATTTCATGTTCTCTCAAACCCTCTCCCCAGAAAAATGTACACATAATACAAGTCTACATATAATTGCATGGGGTTCATGGAGCCCAAGGCCCCCTATGGTTTCTAAGGCCCCATGTGACGGAACCCCTGTGCTAGTGACTTGAACAATGCAGTTGCTCTAGGGAAACACTGACACAGGGCAGGTAAAGATGGGCTGGGTTAATCATGGTGACAGGAGGGAACAATCTTACAATTTCTTACTATTTTGATTTGGGGGCAGAAATTAATTCCCAGGGCCTCCCTGCATTTTCAAGAGCAGAACTACTCAAGGACTAAGCAGCTATCAGTAGTTTAGGAGATTGAGAATAGCGGCTGTATAGGGAAGGTGCATGGTTCCCACTTGGCCCCTAAGGACTTAATTTAGCTCCTTAACCAGAAGCTTTACATTTGGTTTGCAGTGAGGGGGCATTTCTAATTTTAGTTTGACTCTCATGGAAAGGTGGACAGCTTCTATTCCTTTTTTTTTTTTTTTTGGTATAGGGAGCACCTAAGTATTGGACAATTAGGGTTAAGTCCTTGGAATGCCCCAAGTGGCCATTTCCTCTATAAATTTAATATTCTCTACCTCTGAATATTTTAACATAAAGAGCTGCCTCACAAGTTTATCCAACCATTGCTTGCACTAAGAAAGCAAGAGGTTTACGAAGAGCCTTTTCCAGGCATCCAAGAACTCCTTCCAGCCTTATTGGGAGGAGAGGGGAATTACTAAAACCACACTTGTAGGAATGAAATGAGGCTGTCAGTTGTCTAACCTGACAAACTGCCAAATTAGGCTCACGTTTTTGTTAATAGAGTTTTGAACGGCTATTGAGAAGCAGAATTAAAATGTTAAGCTGCTGATTGTAGTTACTTCCTACTCCCCAAACACCCAACACTGGTTTATTTCTCCAGCATCAAGAAAGAAAACCAAGGCACTAGAAAACAAGCACACTTAAGTACTGAAGATAATTAAATCTTTATATTTTGCCGGAACTGTATATTGTAGCACACTAAAACCCATTCAAGGGAAAACTGGGCAAATTGAAAATTCTCCCATTAAAGATTGTTTTTAGAAAATGGACAAATTAGATGATTCCCTTACCCCCCAAAAAAAGGCAATCACATAAATCAGTACTATTCTGAATTAGCTCTAGAAATCACACTGAAACTACATTACATTTACAAATATTAAATTTATTATAACTAGAACGAATTTAATGGTTCTCAGATTTGGCCACCTTATAGCTCCATTTAAGGAGGGGATTTTTAACAGAAAAATGCTTTATAACTTGGTCAAATTACACATTAAAAAAGAAAAAAACTCCTAAAGGAAAACAACAAAAGCAACCCTTCAGTTTCACATAACTAAAGAACAGGAGAAAGTACACAAGCTACATCATAGCTAAATTTACCAAACCAACCAAAGCCAGGGGGGATTTCTTTTCTGATTATGTGTCATAAAAAGGTCCACTGTCTTATATACACATGTATATAATGTTACATTCCGTCACTGTAAAAAGTCCCCTTTGCCCCCCTCCCCCCCCAAAAGTTTCAGTCTAGTCTCCAAACTTGGACAGCGGTGCTCGCTCCTGCTGCCGGTGCAGTTCGTTCTCCGTCAGCAGCTGGAGGTTCTCGGCGCGCAGCCGGTCTAGCTCCAGCTCCAGCTCCCGGACCCGCGCGTCGTCGCCGCCCAGCCGCTTGCTTTCCAGCCGCAGCCGGTTATTCTCGTCCTCCATGCGCGAGAGGCACTTCTCCAGCTCCAGGTACTCTTTGATGAGCTCCTGCTTGCTCATGTTCTGCAGGCTCTCCGCGTGGTACCGCTCGTAGGTCTCCGAGAAGTCCCGCTGCAGAAACTCGCTGCCGTCTCCTCCCATCCCGTCGCTGCCCCCATCCTCCTCGCCCGCTTCTTCCATAAAGTCCTCATCGCTGGTGTCGTCAGATTTGGCAGCGGCCCGTTTGGGATAGAGGCCGGTTTTAAGATCCGGCTCCTCCTGGTCGTGATCATCCATGAGGAACTGCGTGGTGTTATAGGGAGCCACTGGCTGGCCCTTGGCGAACATCTCGGCTCGAATCCTCGAAGCTCGCAGGCTCTGTTTCTCATCGAACTTTTTCTTCTCCTCCCAGGTCAGCGTGTAGTACGGTTTCCAATGCCGCTTCTTCTTGGAGGGGCGTCTCCTATGTTTTTTCTTGCCCAGCTGTCTCTGCTGCTGTCCCCACGCCTCCTCGCCCCCTGCGGTAGAAGCCCCCAACTTGTTGGCCTTCGGCCTCTGTTCCCCTCCCGCCGCCGGCTGGGGGGCACCGCCAGCGGACAAGTCGTCCCCATTCTGGCCCTTCTCACCCGCTTCCGGACAGCTGGATTCTGGGCAGACCTGGGTCTGCACGGGAGGCGGCTGGAGCTCCACGCTCCCTTCCCCGCCCAGCCCCGGAGAGCCACCCGACTGGGGGGACGCTCTCGATTGCCACCTACTGTCCTCCTCCGGCACCCGCTCCTCCGCGCCTGGGGGGCGTTCAGAGTTCGGCTCTTCATGGACAGCAGCAGCACCTGTACAGTTGCTAGTTTGAGGCTGGTGCTGATACTCTGACAAGAGTGGTTCGGCCATTGTTAATAGAATCCTCTTCTCGGAGTTTGAAGAATTTTGGCTGTAAGTCCTTAAGGAAAAAAGGGTTTTCTTTTCTTTCGAAAATGTCCAGCACAGTCCTCTTCGGTCTGTAATTCCTGCAGTGATGCCTTCAGCCAATCTTTCTGTCAGCAAACTCCAGTTGCAATTTGGGGGCGCTCAAGTCAGTAAAGGGTTAAGGGCCCACAGCGCGGCCGGCTAGCGGGTCCAAGGGGGTGCAGCAGCAGCAGAACAGTAGGTGTTGTGCAGAGGGGGTGGGCCTCAAGCCTCCCCACAGAGCGCCCCCGCGATCAAGGAGTTGGTGGGCAAGGAGATTAGGTTAAATCCAACGGGCTAAACCCAGCCCCGAAGGGGTTAAAACTACCCGATGACGCTGACTCCGAGGGGCCGGATCCACAAAGGGTTAAATCCCCTGCCGCAGAGCCCACAAGGGGTTAAAGTCCCAGAGCCACCTCCTCCCACTTCCACGGGTGTCGCTCCAACCCGTGCTCCCACTTCCTTAGGCCCGGCCGGAGCCTCAGCCGAGGACAGACAAACTCATCTCCCCTTTGGCTCGATGCTCTGCTCAGCTCAGTTCTCCTCCGCCTCCTCCTCTTTTTCCTCCCTCCCTCCTCCCCCCTCCGACAGCTCCTCTTCCGCCTCCTCCCCCGACTTCCCCTCCCAACCTGCCTCTCCACCTGCCAACTTCCAACTGATGCCTCCCAGCCCTCTGCGCCCCTTTTATATAGAAGACGGTCCGCCCCGCCCATGCGCATGCGTAACGGAGTCCCCATCGCAGGAAGCTGGGAGTCGTAGTTCCCATCTTTCAGGCCCGCCGTCCTCTCGCGCCGTGCGACGTAGCCAATCCCAGGGCGCGTCGGGGGCGTCTTCCAGGCCGCCACCTTCCATCGTTTATCCCTCGCTAGAGAAACGTGAGCGCCCATTGGTCAAGAGGCACATGTCTCGCCGAGGAAGGAAGGCCGATCGCAGAGAAGATGGGGCGGGTTCTGGACCATACCATTCTGCTTCAGGAATACGAGAAGATTCGATGGCCTATGAGGGCCCGCACAGAATATTTTTATGAAAAGGTGCGTCTTAAAGGCTACTATTGTATTCTGTCCTCAGCGGAAAGGTTCTGAAGGTCATAAACACTTGTTAGCTAAAGCAAGAATGGTTTACTCCTAAAAAGTAGTCCCTAAAGTGTAAACGAGTATTTAATTCTGTAAAGAGAGATATTGGCCCATGGCTAATATTTCTCGATTCTTAAAATTATAGGAATGTCTTTAAGGTGTGTGGTTAGTGACTGGGACTGACGTTTGCGGAAGGATATTGTGAACACATTTCTGTTTAAAAAAGCGCATGAAGAAGTAAACAAATGAAGAATAAAAAGTGCCGCCTTAAAGGGACAGTGTGACTGCGTTAAGGCATTAACCTCGGACTAGGCCTCAGAAAATGAGAAAGCAGGTTCGAGTCCCGGTTGACGTCCGCCTTCGGACTGGTCTCGGGACCCTTGGCCGAAAGTGGCCGAGTCCCAGCCCCAGCGTAGTCCTTCTGGGCCACCGCCGCCCCAGGGGCCAGTGCAAAATGGTGGGCCGTGACCGAGGCTCTCGCCTGGGCCGGGAAGCACCGGGTGTGCGCCCTGGGCTCCCCCGAGACCCGGCCTGTAAGGCCTCGCCCCCTCCTCCCCCTCCCAGGGCCTCAGCTTTTATCGAAGAAAATGGTCTTCTGGGGCCGTCTTGGTCTCTTCAGTTGGGAACCGACCAGGAAATTTTCCTGAGCCCGGACAGGAGAGTCCAGGGCTGCTGCTGAGCCTCTGTTGGGGGAGGGGTTCGAAGTTAATACTGAGTTGAAATAATCAAGCCTGGCTAGTCGAGAGAGAAGGGGGAATCATCCACAGAGGCTCTTCCTTGTCAGTGGGCGCTGGGCAATACCGGGAGGGAAGCAGAGCCAGGGGCTTCCGCGAGGAGGAAGCCTTGCCCAGAAATGGAGGCAGGGGGATTCTGGCCCAGAACTGTGGGACAGATTCATGGCGGGGTGGAGGGGGGCGGCGGCATAGTCTCCTTGTGGAAATTCTCCAGATTCCAAGCTCCCGCCCAAAGGACAGGGGCCGGGAGTAGCCCAAACCCTCCGCCCAAATCACTTAGGCCTAAAATCTCCCCGAAATCTGTTTCTCCCACTTTCCATGCGCACAGTGACCCGTTCTATTCTTACTGTTCTTACTATTTCTTCCTCAGCTGCCGTGTATTACATTCCAACCGCTTTCCACCGCACAACGTTCTCTTACACACAGAACCATTTGCCCCACCACAACAGCCCAGTGAGTTAGGCAAGGTAGGGATTATTGTCTCCAGTTTAGAGATAAGAAATCTCAGAAATTGACTTGTCCAAGGTCACATGACAGTTGAGTGGCAATTTCAGCTAAAGCGAAGGTCTTTGTGTGTGACCCCGTGCCATTTTTCTTTCTGTCACAAACACAGAATTCCTTTTTTTTTCTTAAGAACGCTAGATTTGGTTCCTTTTCATCTCCAACAGCTTCAGCCAGCCTAATTCAGGTCCTTATTTCTTTTTTTTTTCCTCTCTCTCCTTTTTTACCCTCTCCCCCACCTCCTTTTTTTTTTGGCTGCACCACACAGCATAAGGGATCTCAGTTCCCCAACCAGGGAACGAACCTGGCCCCCTGCAGTGGAAGCGGGGAGTCTTAACCACTGGACCACCAGGGAAGTACCCCAGGCCCTTCTTCACTTAGCAAACATCGGATAGCAGGGCACAATGGTGAATAAAATGTCACCCTTGCTACTCAGGTAATGTGTAGCGAGGCCATCAAACCACAGTAAGCAAGTGAAGAAACTCCTGGTAGGAGCTTGTGACCCAAGTTGCTTAGGAGTTGAGAATTGTGGACAGGTTTTGTGCAGGAGGTGACTTCTTGGCTGTCTCTGAAAGATGAAGCATTTTCAGGCAGAATAGCATGAAGTAGGGCATTCTAGGAAGAGCAAGCATCTCATCCCAAGACAGGTCTTGTCTGGGGACTCAGGAGTGGTTCTGTGGGGAAGTGGTGATGGGTATGCCCAGAGGGAGAGGCAAGCAAGAGTGACCCTGAGGCACATCCAGGTGTTTTGAGGTTGAACATCCTAGCCTGTTTTCCCTGGGCTTCCAAGAACTCAGGTCTATCTGAAAAGCCTGCCCCTCCTCTGTGCTGCTCCTCTGTGAGGCTTCCCGGGAGCAAGAACTGCCCCTCACACTGGGAGCTCCCCAAGGAAAAGTCTTTGCAGAGAACTCGACCGGGAGTCAGAGACTTCCAAATTGTTACATTTTCAGACGCCTGAGGACTCCTGGGTACCCTCAATCAGGGGATTTGGAAGGTAAACTGAGCCCAACCTCAGTCTACTGGACAGGGCTCAGCTATATGGACTCATTTGTCCTATTTTAGGGGAGGGGTGGCCAGACTGATAGTTCGTAATTCTAGAATTCTATGAAAGGAGGCCAGGCACCTTGATATTAGCTGAGGTTTAACTCTTTGCTAGGCATTTACATGTCCTGGTCATTTATTTTTTTTATTTTAATTTTTGGCTGCGTTGGATCTTTGTTGGCCGTGCGCAGGCATTCTCTGGTTGTGGCAAGCAGGGGCTACTCTTCGTTGCGGTGCGCGGGCTTATTGCAGTGTCTTCTGTTATTGCAGAGCACGGGCTCTAGGCACGCGGGCTTCAGTAGTTGTGGCACGCAAGCTCTAGAGCGCAGGCTCAGTAGTTGTGGCGCGCCAGGGCTCGAACCTGTGTCCCCTGCATTGGCAGGCGGATTCTTAACCACTGTGCCACCAGGGAAGCCTCTGTCCTGGTCACTTAAACCCCTGGAGTGCTTTATGATGAAGAGATCTTCATCGTTATCTCACAAAGCAACCCAGGCTCAGAGCAGTTAAGAATCTTGCCCAGGTCACACAGCTAGTATGTGCAACTGGTGGAGCTGGCTTCCGCCCGACTCCTGCATCTCCAGCATCAGTTTGGTCCCTCTTCCACGGCCCTCCAGTTGTCCGTCCTTAACACACGGGTTAACTCAAAATTTCGGAGCCCCAGCAACCTACAGCAGCCAGCGATCCCCGGAGGTCTCTGCACACTCCGACACTGGGCCCACCCCGACCGGGGCTCCCGCGCAGGGCCCCGCCCCCACTCCTCTGGGAGGGGCGGGAACGAAGCTCCCGCCGGCCTTGGCCTTCCAGAAAGTTCCCTGGGAAAGCCCGAGCGCGGAGGTCACCGGGAGGGGGAACGGGGAGCGAGCAGCTGAGGAGGGGGGAGGGGGCAGTAAGCACTTCTGGGGCTGGGATCTCGGCCCCGACCCTACCCCTGGCGCGCGGAGCAGGGAGTAGCCGCCCTCCCCTTCGGGCGTGGACGGAGCCTGTGCCCGGGCCCCGCCGCACTCCTCTCCTCCCGCCACCCCTAGCTCGCCGGTTCCCTCCCCCGGGCCACGACG